ACGTTAAAGTCAGCTTTAGATGGGGAGTCAGGTACATTAACACTTTGTACTCTCCCGCATTTTCAGAAGCCCTGGATGGCAGCCAACAGATCCCGAGCGCAGGGCTGCGTCTTCCCGGTGGCCTGTGGCCCCTGGTCCCCGCCCCCCCGACCTGACCCTATTCTACCAGAGGGCCACCGCAAGGCTGGGGCGCTGACCGTCCAAGGTCACCCGCGCAGGGGATGCCCTGGGCCACGGCTGGGAGGCGACCTCGTTCTCCCGCCGCAGCGGCGCGGGTCTGGGCCCGGGTCGGGAAGGGGGCCCGGCGCGGGGCCGGGCAGGGACGCTCACGCTCAGCCCTGGCCGCAGGCTGCCGTACTGCTCCGACACCCAGAAGCCGCGCCGGTCCTCCAGCGCGATGAAGGGCTGGTCGGGGAAGCGCGCGCGGAACTTCCTGAGGAATCCGCCCTCGAAGTCGGCCAGCACGCCGTCCATGTCCACCAGCACCCGCAGGGCGCGGCCGCCCGCCAGGCCCGGCCTGCCCGCCGCCCCGCGCCGCCCCGCGGGAACCGCCGCGCCACGGGGCCGCAGCGCGCACCAGCTGCCCAGCCGGATCATGGCCCAGCGCGCCGGCCCAGCGTGGGCGCGGGGACCTGGACCGCGCGGGGCTGCCGGGGCCGGCCGGTGGACATGACCGCGGCGGAGGACAAGCTCCCAACGCTTGGACGCGCGCGGGGCGCGGAGCTAGGAACGCGGGGCGCGGGCGCGCAGGTACCGGCCCCAGAGCGAGGCAGCGGCGCGCGCGGCCCTTAAAGGGACCAGCGCCGGAGGAGGCGGAGCCCGGGGGCGGGGCTTGGAGGACCGAGAGCCCTGGGCCCCCGGCGCTTCTGGAAGGTCCGCGTTCCCGCGCTCTCCATTGGCGTCTTCTCCCTGGACCCTGGACGCGGACTGCCTTCTCCCACTGCACAGGGGAGCACGGAGGAGCAGTGCAAATCGAGGAGCGGGCCTGTGTCGTTAGACATTTCTGAGCACTTACTGTGTCGCGTGTGAACCAAATAGACAAGGTTCCTGCCATCCTGGAACTTACGTTTTAGAAGAGGAGCCAGACAACCGCATGGAGAAACCGAAACGGGGTGATGTGTACTCTGAAAACCTCTCTGCTTTATTTACAGCAGGTGCCTGCGGAGACACTGATAGAACCAGTAACGTGCTAACATCTAATAGCCTTAGTAAAAATGATTCTCAAGTAAATAGAGGAATATGTATTGTATATTATGTACCCCTGTATAGTCTGCTTTTTTTTTTTTTCTTTTGAGACAAGTTATTGCTCTGTTGCCCAGGCTGGAAGCAGTGGCATGATCCCGGTTCACTGCAGCCTCGACTTCCTGGGCCCAAGGGATCCTCCTGCTTCTGCCTCATGAGTAGCTGGGACCACAGGAGCATGCCACCACACCCTGGTAATTTTTTTTTTTTTTTTTTTT